GTCAACAGTAGATCTCATCTGAGAGTATACAGAGGGGCTACATTATGGAAAAAAGCAGAAGTCACACCAGGTTGAGATTGAGGTCCGAGGTCCTTTGAATGTTCTCTGCCATATATACAATATAAGAACCAGAACTGAGTTCTTGAATGATGGCGATACGCTTCTAATTCCAACCTGCCATTCTTCATTTTTGTAATCTGAACTGGGCTCTAAGTCTCCCTGGAACACTGGAATTGAAATGGTAGATCTCCCTCTGATCATTTGTAGGATCAGAATCCAGTTACTTGAGCAGCATAGCTCTCTGAGCCTCAGTTTCCTCAGCACTAAGAAGGGAGTGATAATGTTGCTGGCGGAAACTGTGTTCTTCTACAGGATTATGGGAAGGATATTTTCACAGACCGATGCATGGAAGATTGCAGTGTGGCAAGACTTATTTGGGTGAAAATACAAGCCTACCCTTCATGGGTTCCCAATGTCCTGTCTGTCCAGCCATGGAAAAAGTTCAGTCTTGTTTTCATCAAGGCCCAAACCAAGGCCAGTATCCAGAGTTTCTGTTTCAGATGAAAACTCAGTCCCTGGAGCCCACGTTGTCTGCCTTCAGCCCACGGGGCTGCTAGACCTGCATAGTTACATGTGTTCCTGGCTGAGAGAGAAGGCTCTCTGTGTTCTTTGGGGATTATGCTATCTCTGGCTCATGATGGACAAGAAGTTTTTCAAAGTAACCAATCAACTTCCCAACCTTTTTGGGCTTGAGCTGGGCCTGCCTCCTGACTAATCCATTACTTCCCCAGGCTAGTCTGATAGGCCTGTATGGCCCAGCACCTCCCCCTGTGCCATTTTGACTTCGATTGCACATGGCTTACCTTCCTTGTGCCGCCCCCATTGGTGCCAGAGTGGGGAAAGGAGGGTATTAATCTTTGGCGGGGCAATGCTGTGATCCCCTGGATCTTCCTGGCAAAGCAAGCAGGCTCATGCTCCCCATTCATTATACGTAGTGATGTCTGAGTCCCTTTGCTTCCTCCCTTTATTAATATCTAGCTACCTACGCTAACAATAATAGCATCTAACTCAATGCATCATTTTAAAAGTAAACGAGATAACACATTTAAAACAAATGACACATATAAATGCGTAATAAATGGCAGTAGTTTTCCAAGTTTATTGGGATACGAGAGGGAGGTAGAGAGAAAATCAGACACTGGAGGTAGGAACTGTTCCTGTGATAATAGTCTTGATAGTCTCTAGTTAGATCAATCATCCAGCAGGCACCTGCAAGGTAGGGGACCCTTTCCCTGTTTCACTCCTTGAAGAGCGGGTCTCTGATTTTAGGGCTTTTCCAGCTTACAACAGAAAACACTTTAACATGAAGAATACAGAGTAAATCATTTTTAAAATGATCAGGCAGATCATTTTAGATATATATTTATATATATATATATATATATATATATATATATATATATATATACCATGTTTCCCCGAAAATAAGACATCCTCTGAAAATAAGACATATTTACAGGTTTCCTTCTGAGTGAAATATAAGGCATCCCCCGAAAATAAGGCTCCCCAAGCTCTGTCTCAGAATGAAAATTAATTTACCTTACCGTATACAGGTAATAAATTTCCTTTATTTTCATTTAACAATAAATGTGTACCGTATTCTTCTTCATGGAAAAATAAGACACCCCCTGAAAATAAGACCTAGCACATCTTTGGGAGCAAAAATTAATATAAGATATTGTTTTATTTTGGGGGATACGGGGTATGCATTTTATAACGTTGCCTGGCAGTCCTCCACTGGTGAGGGCAGGCTGTAAGGAGAGAGGATACTGCCTGGAGAAGGAGGAGAAGGCGCTGCAGGAGAGGGTGGGCCACACACCTCAGCGGCGGGGGGAGTGCGGGGGGGGGATTGTGGCTGCAGCGTTAAGCTCACCTGGCTTAGGTGGGGAAGACACAGCCCCGCCCCCACCTCACCTTTCCCTTATTTTTTTTTTATGTTTTATGTTTTATTTTATTTTTTAATAATTTTTAAAAAGTTTTATTTTTTACATATGTGTCCTTATTCCTCTACCCCCTCTTATGCCCCACCTCTTGTCTGTGTCCATTGATTAGGCTCATATGCATTCACACAAGTCCCTTGGTTGTTTTTATACGAAGTTGAAAGTGAAGTTAAATACGTATATTTGACTCTCACTTGGGAAGGTGTGACTTTATGACTCCCGAGGGACTTCACAGGTTCATTTTTAAACAGGATCTGGCCTCAGGTTCCTATAATATGTGGCTCATAGCAGTATAAAGCCATGCAGGAATTATGGGCTGTGCTTTCTTTGTCTTGAAATTATCATAGACATAAGATATCTTCTCACTAGGAAGTAAGGCGAGACTTCAGTATATTTTCTCTAGAGGACTAAAAATAGTACCACTTTGAAAAGCCCCTTTTTCCTTGGCGGACATTTTTTCATTCTTTTTCTTGGACTTTTTTTCCCCCTAAAGAAAAACGTAGCATATTAAGCGTGGCTAATGCCTGCAAGTTTCCACCTGTAAGTTGCATGTAGGGGAGACTGGCCATTCTGTGCCGGCATTCCAGGCCACTGACCTTCAAAGCCTCCGTCCCTCCTGAATGAAGCTCTGAAGACTCTTTATGGGTGAGAGTTTCCTAACCTGCCCCTGGTCAGTTCCTTAATGTGAGACCGGCCATGACAGGAGCTGGGCAACCCTGTGCCCTTACAAGCTTTCTGCCTTCTCGACTAGTGCTTGTTAGCAACCAGAGAACTGAACCAAAGCGGTTCATGCTTGTCTTACTTTACAACTCCACTTGTCAAACAACAGTGGCGAAGGGAAAGGTCAGCACTTGATGCTTTAAGCACTTAATGTTAATAATTTCTTAAGGTGGACAGAGTCTAAGAGGTTTTTAAATTAGTCCTCAAATGTATGGGAGAGGGTCTGGTTGGTTATTCACATCAGAAATGAAAACCAAGTGCCTGGTTCTCCCTCTTCTTTACCTTATTCCATTCCAATGTAGGGCAGTGTCTTAGTAGAAAGTCCACAAATATTCATCCAATCAATAGATCTTTATTGAATACCTACTATGTGCCAGACATTTGTTGAAGAAATAGCTAAGATTCTCCTTGTGGGTTATTATGAAAATTGTATGATCGTGTACTTTTAGTATTATCATTTTTTAAGTTTATTTTTTATTGATGACAGTATGGCAGATGTCCCATTTCTCCCCACCCCCCACCCCTGCCATTTCCCTCTTCACCCAGCCCCCTTAATTGTTATTTTTAATAACAAAAGTGGCACATGCTCATTGAAAAAAAAAGTCAAACTATACAGAACTGAAAGTTCCCTTGTCTCACTCTCCAAGGATAACCACTGTTAATAATTTGTGCAACTCCTCCCATCATATACTACAGTCTCTACTGCAGTTTGTCTTATCCAACAAGCAGCTATGCAGTTCTTTCTGTGCCAGTACATGACAGTTACCTCAACTTTTTCAACCCCTTCTAAGTGTTATATACTAAACATGTGCCACAATTTGTAAAATTTACCTTTTCTCAGATTGATGAACATTTAAGCTATCTCTATCCTAATGATTTACAAATAATGTTGCAAGTACCATTCTTGTGCTTATATCCTGGGGTTCTTTTTTGAGAATATTTGTGGGGTCACTCTGAAAAGTGGAACTGCTTGGTTTAGCTTTATGAAATACTTAGGTACTTCTCATTTGCTTTTCATACATATTGTGTTGATTTTTAAGATCCATTAGTGATCCAAGATATGCACTGTCTTTAACTGATTCTTCCATTAAGTGGCAGGTTGGCAGGTCTGGGTACGCTTCCAAATCAATAATCAATCCCTGCTCTTTGAGAAAATAATGTTGCGATATGCTCTGTAATAAGATGTGATGCCATTGTTTCCAAAGGCAGGGTGAGTATTTAATCTAAGTATACATTCCAGCGGCCCACTAACCTTGTTCCTGTCTCCCATGTCGGTGCCCTCCTCCCCGTGTTGCTGTTTAAGATTCACTAAGGCAGGGGATTCGAGTGCAAACAAATTACACTTACAGCTCAATGTTTGCCCTCAAAGACCTTTCAGATTGAGTTGGGAAGACAGACACAGATGGCTAAAAAACAAGCTAAAAATACAAGTCAGTGTATAAAAAGCAGCAAATATAAATAGTCAGCATCATTGTGGAGATTCAGAGGAAGGAAGGAAAATAGTGGAGTCCAGTGCAGCTTCAGGCGAGGCTGCGGGACTGTGGGGTCTCAGGTGGGGCCGGCGGTGGGTGGGAGGTAACGCTGAAATGCAAGTCGGAATCAGCTGACAGAGGAAGAGAGATTCCATGAGGGTGGAAAACAGGGCAGAAGTGCCCACTTTGAATTTGCTAGTTGGAAGCGGATGGGGTTTACAGTAGTCCTTGAGATTATTAGAGATACTTAGCCGAAGTTTTTTATTTTTCCTGTTTTGGGTTTTTGGGGCACGTGACAGCGCTGGTACAGGTACAGGTAGGTCATTCAAATTTTGAGAATCTGAAGAAAGCTTCCAGCACTTTTCCCAGGAAGGGACCTGCCTGCTTGCATCTGCACACACATTTTGTGGCTTCAGGCAGCTTCTACACCAAGAAACACTTTTAGAGTACGTATATCTAAAAGAAGTGACAACCCAGAACAATCCACCTAGAAAAAATGTTAGCCACTACTCGCATCCCAGTAAAAGTTGTTTGGCAACCTAAGACATAACTCATATCCGTGTGCATTCACGAATGACCAAACCCTGAAGCTGACCGGAACAGGTGGGTCAGCAACCTGATGGGGCTGCCGGCTCCAGCCCTCCCCTGCACGCCAGTGGTGCCCGGGGTAAAGGGCAGCGGGCTCGCTGGCTCTCAGAGAAAGGTCTGACCTGCCAGAAGCCGGGCTCTTGAAAATCGGAGTCAATGGGATTATTAACGCATGTGTCGCTGGCATCCACTTCAAGACGCTGTAAAAAAAGATACTCTTGCTCCCCACCCCCTCCTTTTTTTTTTTTTTTTTTTTTTTTGACAGTCAGTTAATAAAGACTCAACAATAAGCAGCTGCCAGTGATGTCATTTGGGACTTTGTCCACGGAGCTTGTATTTACAAGCTCGGAGCAACCGCGGAGCCGCGTGCACGGAGGGAGCAGCCTCCGCAAACTTGCTCTGAAGTCTCTGCAGGACTTTGCTGCCGCTCCGGGCTCCGGCCGGTCAGGAAAACCTCCTAGCGCGGCCTTTTAATGCTTCAAAAAATAAACAGAGGATAACTCGCTCACTCGGGAGGAAAGTTTTAGCTGGAGAGAGTGTTGCAGTTCCTGTGTCTGTCTCCAGGGCTGTGATAGGTGTTGACTGAAGCGCTAACTGCAAGTAAGACTATTGGGATTTTTTTTTTTTTTAACTCTTGTAACAGTGTTTTCTCCTTTGTACAGCTTGCTTTCCTTTTAAAGGGAGATAATGATGTTTACGTATGTCTACCGGCTCCGGCGGCCGCCACAAGTATGCATTTGTTCCGAGTAATTACAGGGGCCGGGGTTGCCTGCGAGGTGCACGGGTCTCCCCTGTCTGAGAGCAGACACGGGGCGGCAATGATAGCAAGATAGTGCGGAGTTCTTAATGATTTGCCTCCGCAGGGAGGTTGGAAATTTAAAAAAATAATAATAAAAATAAAAAGCAACCAACCTTATAAAAACTGTTAGGTTGACTTAAGAATTTTAATAGAAACCTGTAAAGACTGACTTTCAGTGGACTGGTGTGCTGGAGGGGAAACCCGCTTTTTTTTTTTTTTTGTCCCTGGTCCTGTCTGTGGTTTGAAGGTCTCTAGTATGTGATTGCTGTTTACAATCTCTCGTTTCCTCCTGCACACACCCTCTCCCCAAGCGCACACACAGCCAAGCTCATTCATTCTCCGGGAAGTTCAAGGCTAGAAAAATGTTTTGCAGTTTGAAACCCTTTCTATGTGGATATTTTTTTCTTTGTGTCTCTGGAGAAATGGTCACTGTTCTGGAACCCGAAGTAACAAACTACTGGGAAAAAAACAAACTTTGACATGCAGTGAGGTCGGGAGTCAAGACCCGCATCTCCTCTTTCACTTTCCTTCTGACTCTTTTAAAACTCTTCCGATATATTTTTTGAGGGGGTGGGAGGGCTGTAGGAAGAATGCTGTCAGTGTGTGCCAGCCTGGACCGGGCTCCGTGTTATCACGGCCAGGCTGGGCCACCTGGCCACTCGGAAGTTCTGCCTGAGAGCCCTGTGAGTTTGTCTTTCTCGTTCGTGCTTTGGGATGCTGGCTTTGTGGTCCAGCCCCTCAAAGCCAGTAGCAAATCGGGACTAATTCCTGCCTCCTAGAGCTGACGGCTGTGTGCACAGATTGACAAGAAGTGGCTGTTAGCCTGCTACCTCCTGCACGCGAACCCCTTGACTCACTCCTGGGGACCTGGCCTGCCCCTCAGTTCAGGGCTCCATCACCAGCCCAGGAGAGCCGTGACAGCCCCCACTGCCTTCTCTTTGCCTCTGGCCTCAGGGCGCTGGAAGAACCCGCGCCAGAAAGGCTTTCCAGGGGGGACTAAGGTGTGAAACTTCTTGCATGTCTGTCAGCTCCCAAGTTTTTCCGCCAGAGCACACGCTGCTTGGATATGGTTTATGGATTACAGCTTGGTGCTTTTTTGTGCATTTTCATTTAAAATAAGGGATTTGCTGCTAAAGCAGTTTTCAAAATATTACTCAAAGCTTAATCTTTTTACAGAAGAAAACCTCAGGCACAAGGAAGGGGAATGATTTGTCCAAAATCACCGGGCAAGACGGTGACCGAGCTGCAGCTAGGAACTAAATCCCTGTGCTCCCGCGGGCATGCATTTCACAGCTCAGTTCTTAGAGATTAGGAAAGAAACGGGACCCACGCATGGTTAGCAGGCCTTCTCGTAGGAGCAGAGCCTGTGTGAAGGTGTAGGAAGGTGTTCCTGCAAAGAGAACATGCCTGTTTTGTCTTTGGCTCCACGAACGCTTCTGAGTGTCTCTGTCTTTGTTTTCACTCGAGAACTCTGATTAGTTTACAGCTGATGGCTGAAAGGCAAGCCAGGTGGTTCCCGCAGGTGAGACCTGAGGAAGGCATTTTGCATCAGAAACAGGTTGAGAGATGGAAGGTGGGTCCCAGCTCTGACATTTTGTGCTTCTGCTTTACTTTCACATCTCAGAGCTCTTCTCATGGACCTCACCTGTGCTTCTGACTTCTCTTTGGGGCCCCTCCTGTCCACAGAGCCTTCTTTTCACTTTCTCGTGGATTCCTCCTGCCCCCTCATTCTCGCACTGCAGTCTAGACCTCAGGTCCGGACAGTCAACTGGATTCACACTCTGCATTCCTCTTCTCTCTGCAACCCGCCTTGCCCATGCCTGTGGGACTCCTCTGGACTCTCGAAGTCGATGTCTTCCTTTGGACCTCAGAGCATCTGTGCTGACTTTTTCTGGGCCATGTGGAGCTCTTTGCCACAGTGTTACATATCTCTTTCCATTGAAAACAAGGGCTGTGTGGTGTGTTTTTAAAAAAATATGTTTTTAAAGATTTCAGAGAAGAAGGGAGAGGGAGAGAAAGATAGCAACATCAATGATGAAAGAAAATCATTGATCGGCTGCCTCCTGCATGCCCCCTACCTGGGATCGAGCTCAAAACCTGAGCAAGTGCCTTTGACCAGGATCAAAGCTGGGACCCTTCAGTCCATAGGCTGACACTCGATCCACAGAGCCAAACCAGCTAGGGCAAGGGCTGTGTTTTAATCACTTCCTGTATTCACTGCACCTGATACAGAGTAGTTGTTCACTGTATAATACTAAATAAACAGAATTGGTTGTTAATCTTAACTATCTCATTGCCTGATGAGGCATCTAGGCCCCAGCCCTTGGCTGATAAAAATATGACATAAGTGTGCCGAGTGGTTTTGACTTCTGTGGTTGAAAGCTCTCAGTGCCAGGCTCCTCATATGCAAACAAGGCCATGCTGATGTGATGCTTGCCAGCATCTGCTGGCTCATCTCTCTCCACTCAGCCGGAGCACTTATAGATCTGTTCTCGAGGCTCCTGTCCAGACAGCTCAACAGAGCCTTCCCTGGAGGGAGGAGGGACATCAGGGCACAGCAATGGCAGACTTGGACCAGAACGAGACTGAGGGGCTCAAGGCCTGTCTCCATCACTTGCTGGCTTTGTGGTCTGGTTAATGAACTTGTCTGTTTTGAGTTTTCACTTTTAAAATGTGGATAATAAGAGTGCCCATCTTTTGGGGGTCTGCGGGGGGAAGGAATTAAATAAATGATGATAGCCAAAACAGCACAATACCAGGCATCATTTAATGCCCATGAGTGTTAGCTGTTGCCATTATTATTTACCTTGCAGATGCCCATATCCCAATGATTTAATGGATCAGCATCTACAAGGTGAGATTCAGACCCAGAAATAGTTAAAACATTCCTCAGATGATTTGGACTGAATTACTGGCTTAGCTATCAGACATGCTTTGTAACCTGAACATGTTTGGCTTGTGTGTTCTTTAGTACCTGTATACCTTTATACTCCTGCTTGTGGCATTCTCTATCCATCTAATTTACCCACCGGGCCCTTGCCAAATTGGTAATCTCATGCACAGCTCAGCACCTGGCACAGGGTTCCCACTGAATCATGAAAAAAAATGTATGAATGCATACTTGATAGGCGCTGTAAGAGAAAATTTGAACTGTTTTCTTCCCTATAATCACTATTGAGTGAATACTGCATATCAGGCACACTTCTAAGTTCTTTGCATGTGCTATTTCATTATACTCATCTTCCAGGCAAAGATACTGAGGTTCCGGTTGGCAAAATCATACACAAAGGTCACATGGGTGGTAAGAGGGAGAGGCAGGATTTGAACTCTGAGATCATACTCTTGACCTTTCATTGCACTGTTCTCTGGATGTAGAAGGCAGTATTTCTCATGAGCTTTGCCATGACGGGACTTAGTTTTTCCCCTGAACTAGTGTTCTGTCAGACCAGGAAACCAGATGAACCCTTCTAGGTGCCAGCGAGTTGGACTGGGGATTCACATTTCCTAGTTTTTCAGGATTCCCTAAAGTCCATGCCTAGTCCTTTGTTATTTTTGTTTTTCTTTTAACCTCAGGTATGATTCCCCTTGCAGGCAAGCCCAAGTTTACAGCTGACCATCAGGATTATCTGCATTCTTGATCTGGGTGTTGGTAGGCTGAGTTCAGCTTGGAGAGAAAGAGGGGGAAGAAGAGGGAAGAAAGGAAAAAGGAAATACTGGTTGGCTTGTTCCTTAGAAAATTGGTATTTTGTGATAGTGCTTTTAAATAGCCAGAATGGTTGAGACTGAAGACTGGCAAGTTCCTAGAACCAGTTAAATGCAGCCTTATTTTTTTTCTACGTTTCTAATTCTACACAGTTTAATGCCTTTGGAATTTTAGATTCTCAATTGTGCTTTATTTATAGATGAAATAATAAATCTCTCAGATACATAGAACATTACCCACAGCGTTTACTATGCCCCAATACATATTCGTCTAATGGAGTGTGTCGTGTCGGTTTGGAAGTCTCAATTACACAAGGTACTTCCCTGTAGTTACATAAATTAATCTTGGTATTTTAGAGCAGGAGCAGCGATCACTCCTTTTAGAGATACTCTTTCTGGATTACCGATGCTTTCAGTAGGATTTGGACACACTATGGAAACCCACTAGATTGAGTTCAAAAGGAAAGTCCCAAACCCATTTTGTGCTATAAGGTCCTATACTAAGGCAGATGGACATTATGGTGTTGAAAGCAGGACTGTTAGTTCTGAAATGTGGGGACAAGTGTTACTATCAGGATATATGTCTGACAGGCTGCTCCATGAAGGGTACTTGCTTCTTTTGACAAATTGGATCTGGAAACAGCACTTGTCTAGGTCAGCCCAAAAGACATATTCCAAATGGTTCTACTGTCAGCTTTAGAAACCTACAAAATCAAATGATGCATGCTCACAGATTAAAAAACTAAGTAGTACCAAAATGTTTATATAAACATACAACTACATGTCACATATAATTATACATGTGCACATATCATTAAGTATAACAGTGAATGATAGTGCTGAGTTTTATCTACATGCAATTTTATAAACATTGCAAATACATGCAGTCCCTGGAGCTGCTCTCCCCCTCCCAGCCTAGGCCTGGTCCTCAGAGGCTTTTCTACTCTTTCTGCTGCTTTTTGGAGATATTTCTCTAAATGATGTTTTAATATCTACTTATAATGTCAATTTATTTGTTTATTTCCTATTCTGGTAGATTATATATATTTCTTAAACCTCCTATACCTTCCCTGTTCTACAATGAACTGTATCACCATTG